AAGAGCCTGCAGCTTCTCGAGTCGGAAAGTCTCTAACGCCCACACAGCATGGTTTCGTGGAAGGTCGCTCATTCACCACCAACCTACTGTTGACGAGGCACGAATGGTTACAAGCGCTGAACCAAGGCAAATCGGTCGACGCCATTTATATTGACTTCAGTAAGGCTTTTGACAAGGTAAATCATGCAGTGCTCCTCGACAGGCTGAGCATGTGCGGTGTTGGTGGCTCGCTGCACCAATGGATCAATACTTTCCTTGTTGATCGAAAGTAGAGGGTCTAGGTAGACAACCATTTAACCGACTGGTATCCATCGAGCAGTGGCATGCCCCAAGGCACTGTACTGGGGCCGATTTTGTTTCTGATCCATGTAAACGATGTGCCTCAGCTACTCCATTCGCCTTGTGCGTTGTTTGCAAATGACTTGAAGGTGTGGAGAGTAATCCGCACACCCAATGATTGTGACCATCTTCAGTAGGACCTCGACCGCCTCTCCACTTGGTCTGCAGAGTTCAACCTTCTGATCAACTTGGTCAAGTCGCAATTCATGAGGCTGGGTAAGTGTAAGCACAGTCGAACCTACACGGTGGCTGGGCAACCGTTGCATCCCGCGCCTTTTCGTGCGCGACCTTGGTGTACTCTCACGCTGCGACCTAAAGTCCATTGACAACACGAATAGGCTGTACCAAAACAGCCTTCGGATGCTTTGGACGCTCAGGCGCAGTCTCAGCACTTGGTCTGAAGAGATTGCCACTCGCTTCTTCGTCTCAATCATACGACCAATGCTAGAGTATGGCTCTCCCCGCGTATTGTCCTATCACCCGGGGCGAGGTAGCAAAGATTGAGCGAGTACAGCATGTACCCACCAGACTGATTCCCAACTTACGAGGTGTGCCGTACGAAGACCGGTGTAAGAAACTAGGGCCGTACACCCTAGCTTATCGTCGACTGCTGGTTGACCTCATCATGACGCACCGGCTGTTACATCTGGAAGATTACGCCATGTGGAGACCGCTACTTCATCTGCGCACACCAAGCAGCACACGAGGACACCAGTACAAGCTTGTCGTACCGGATTTGAAGCGGGTTGTTCACCAACTCTGTTTCGAACGCCGAGTGGTGAATGTATGGAACGACCTGCCGCAGCACGTAGTTGAAGCAAAGTCGGTGTCGGAATTTTAAGGAGTTCCTGGACAAACACTTTGCCAATGCATATATATTGAGCGTAAGACAAAATAACTGGTCTTTGTCCCTGAGTGACATTAGATGCAGCTACACAGAGCAAACTCTACTTGCTGCTTCCAACCAGTAATCATCATCATCATCATCATCATCACCATCATCAATCATCATCATCATCATCATCAATCATCATCATCGTCATCATCACCATCGCCATCATCCTCATGATTTCACGGATATGACATCACTTGTACAATGCCGAATTTTTTAAGCTTGATTTGGTCGATCAGTGGCGAATGCTTCGAGTGGTACTTGCGCGGGTTATTTGTGACCTCATAGCATCCTAGTCCGCGTACGACAGCCGGTATTTGCTTTGCAGTGTAATGTAGTAACGATATGCTGGTTTCTTCTTTCTCAGCACTTTGGATTCCCTCCCTGAGTCGTGCGAGTTGCATTTTTATGCAGCTCATTTTGATTATATTTGAACAATTTTGAAGCCGGAAAATGGCACAACTTTTGAACTTATCTATTAGGAATCCAGTGATATCCACCATCGTTGTTCACTCGTCAAAGCTTCGATCGTCGAGGTATTTGTTGCACCCTGTTACCTTTGACTGTCTAGCGCCCCATACAAGGTCTGGGCACACTCGATACTTATGTTGCTGTTGCACCTACCTGTCCGATACAGCCGCGTAGTTTCACTGCGGGACAAGCAACGGTCTAGGCACCATCCTGTGCACTCCTAGCACACAGGTATCCCTAACTGTTGTTTGAATGAGATGCTTTCTGCGAGATTTGGGGGTCGAATTAGGAACAATCGCGGCTGCCACTCGCATTCTCCTCGATTTTGTTCTATCTGCATTCCACAAGGTGTGATGCATGTGGATGGCGCAGCGCTCACGCTACTCCCTTTAGGTGCAAACGTTCTGTGGCTGTTTTGAATCACAGCGACAGCTAACTCTGAAAACGGATACTACTAGTCATGTCTAATATACTCCCTGTCGTCCATGTATATACTTTCGCGAATAATTCACGAGCCTACTATTTTCTCTTACTCCTATTATCTTGAAGTGATCTTACCTGTTAATGGAATCTGTTATAACATTAGCTCTAAACGACGCACCTCTCCACGATTCACCAACTGCAATCCTCCCTCCTGTAAAATAAAAAATGTATCGTCAACGGTACGCCGTAACGGCGCTCCGCTGCCGCGCGACCACCACTGGTCGCGCGCGAGTTGACTATACCGCGAGGACGCCCACTCCTACGCGAATCCGAACCGGTGACCTTATGTTTGCAAGGCAGACGTGCAGACCACTCGGCCACCGGACGATACCCCCTCCTAAGTATACCTTTTATTACTGGTGGTGGCCAATGTGTTTTCAACTCACAAATTTACGGACTACTGGACCCGATATTAACTCGCGTGTTGGAAACAACCTCAACTTTACTGTGATAGTTTCTTTTTGGAGCGGATCGTTGTTGCGCTGCCATGTACAAGTCCTCTAGCTGATAGACTGGCGGAATTTACTCAAGGCTTTTGGTTGCCGGATGGCGTGATGGAACTTCGATGATGACGATTAGTGTAGGCTGTGTGCTAGTATCTGTGAATCTCGGTACTTTGTCACGTTTAAGTCCTGCATTCTCCACTCATAAAGTTTTCTTGGTCACCTTGTTGCTCTTTTTCTATATTCCTTACGTATGCCCAAGATCTATGCCGTTAGACAACATGTTTTCCAAAGTCAGCTCATCTATACCACATTGTTTTTAATGATATCGTCTTTCATTGGGCTCCATGCATGTGTGATAGGCAAATCCACTACCTGGATCCGCTTCCGGTACGGTTTTACTGATCTGTATGGGAAGTGGGATTCAAAGTAAACCATGGTCCCTTAAAGATCGCATGTCGCAATCCAAAGACACACAGCGGGTACTCCAATGCTCAACATTGAAATATCTAGCAGCTCTCTTCTCCCTTCCGTTCTATGAGAGCACTATCATATTAGCCACCTACTGAAGTCGTCCACACTCCAAGCATGCTTACCACTTTTCGGGTCTCTTACCAGCAACACACCCATCACTGCTTCTGTTCCTAGACGTGTGGAAGCAACCATGCTGCGAAAGTGGAATTTACGGTTTATTCGGGCTGGCTTGCCTCGTGGTGTCAGCTAAGTGGTTCGGGATTTTCCCGTTCCAGCAAATGGTTCGGCGGCAGTGTTCCAGGACGTGGTGGATTTTCGCCTAGCAAGCGTTGTCCCTATAAAAGGGACATATGTCCTTTTAAAAAAACTGTGACGTGGCGGACGTGGCTCGCCACTAAATAAAGTCGCTGCCCATTGCTTCATCCTGTCGAAGCATTGTATCCCAGCAAGTTTATACTGCAATTCTTGGGAACATTGGGCTCCTGTTTGACAAAGGAACAAACGAAAGGCGTATGAACTGAGCAATCAGTCACCGGCTCTTAATGGGCGCGATTTCCTGAATTCGCTCAGCTGCCTTGTGGGCAGGCTATTCAGCCGAGGACTCGGGATGGTGTCACCTAAGTCAACGCCCTATTTCGGCTTGGACAACCTGGTAGTATCTCGCCCTCTGACGAAACCGTGAACTTTAATGTGTTGTGTCGTGTTTTCTTTTACTATTTCTGTACCTTTTGAGTTCCATAGTTTCCGATGACTCAATGTCTATTCATAGACTGTCGCTGGGTCCTTGCGGCTTTGTTTAAAGTGGTACAGGACGCTATGGAAGTTGTACACCTTGGGGTTTCGCATTTTGTCCACTGCTTGGCGCACGCAAATTGTATTGAACTAAAGAACCCCGATGGCACGCTCTCAAATTGCCTACTTTGTGCTGCCCATTTTTGGTAGCTTCTTGGGAGGCATCTGAAGCAAGCGATGAATTGACCACATTTTTTCACCCTTCTGCATTTGCTGTCATTGGAAGTCTGTATGCAATAGTGAACAAAATTCCCTGAGAGTATCTGGTCTCAGCAGAGGCGTTTTCATTTGCTATTTCTTTAGTAGTCAACGCCATTGTAACCACTTCGGATGACTTACGCGGTAAACTGATATCCGGTAGGTTTCCCATATCTCGCGACACCTAATTTTATGCAGCTCAGATGTGGCTGCCTCCCTGCCTGTCCCGCAGAATAAAGTCATTCTTATCCCGCCTACACTCCTCGAAAGTCGAGAACACGTTATGCCGCCTTTCTTACCATCTTCCCGACAGTTAACTACATAATCCAATGAGCTGCCATATCATACTGAAAATGCTTTTGTAATTTGTATAACCACGCGACGAATTCACCATATTTTTATAGCTCCGATCATGGCGACATGACTCCTGGTCTGTATTTAAGAGCAAGTAGAAAGGTTTCTGTACAACTCCATCGAATTATGCGAAATAAAAAACATTTAATTACGGATTGTCAGCGACAGTGTTTGGTCAGTTAATCGTTTATTCTCGTTCGGTTCGCAGTTCTTATTGGTGTCATTATTCCTGCATGTAGTATATGATCTCAATGATTCGTCCGCTTAAGTCCTTCTGTGTTCTGTCTCCAGCACCGAAATTTCTTTGCTGCACTTTTTTGTTTAAAATTGACTAACACCATTGAAAATGTTATCCAAACCTAAAGTCGTTCGTCCAAAATTCATCATTACGTAAAAAGTCCAACAATATTGCCACTCTTTCTGCAGTTAACCCGTTTTATCCACTTTGTATTCCACTTGGTTCTCGTATTGCTCTTGTCAAATTATCTGGACGCTATTGCAAATAGAAGTTCTCGTGCTTTGTATTCATCAGTAACTATGCCTTATTGTTTTAGGTCTTACCTTCTTGGACGTATGGCTCAACGGATTTTCATGGTGCTGCCGCCAACTGGGCCGGTCAAGGACTAGCAAGTGCATTTCCCACTTCCAAACGTTCTGAGGCGTATCGTCTCTGTGCTAAACAGCTGTTGGATTTCCTCGAGAACCAAATCGATTCAACCGTTTCACATGTTTCACGTTTGCTTGAAACCAAGAAAACTGTGATCAGACAACCTACAGAAAAGCAGTTGGAGCAAGATTCCGAAAATGAACTTGCTCTGGAAAAGTTAGCCAGAGCTGTTGATTTCTGTGGTTTAATCACTTTTCACTTTGCCGCACTCCCAGACAATAATCCGCACCTTCAACGCCTCCGATCACTGTTGTCACCGGAAAACTTGTGGTCTAGAGTTTCCCGCGCAATCGAGCTCAGTCTCTGTGAAGGCCACTTGTTACTCGGAAACAGCTCCATCGTCCACAGATCTTTATATCAATTATCCAAATCTTTGTGTATTGATGAGCACTGGAGTCAGTGGTTGTCTCAGACTCCACAAGGCACCCACTTAGCTTCCTATCTGTGCGCCAGCACACTTGGTCAACTCGGAGTTAAGTCTGATTGTGAAATTCCAACTGCACCTCAGACCTCTACTCTGATTCCTTCCTCTCTACGTTTGGAAGCCGGTGCCTCCTGCTATTGCTCCTGCTGGGACGCAGCCATAGCATGTTTGACCAATCTTCCGGACAGTTTGGTTTGGTCAATCGTTGACTGGAGGTCCAGCTTGGCTCCACAACTGGAACGTCTGTTATTACATGCTGACGTTGGACTTATTACTAAGGTATGGTTTACATTGGGTTACTATTGCTTCTGTGCTATTCTGTTTCCCTCCAAGGAATTGTTTGATTCTCGCATTAGTACCATTTTCTTTTTGGTTATATTTCTCCACTGTTTTTGCCAAAGCGTCTGGTAGGCTGACGGAGAGCACAGCTTCGGCCATCATAAGTTATCGCTCTAGTGACTGCGTTGTTGTTGTGAATTCTAAATTCTCGATTCTGAACTATACTACTGCACATTTACCAGTAGTTCAATTTCTTTATAATTTTCCCGTTGGACGGTGTGGTACTCGAGTTTACCTGTTCATGCACCAATGTTCGGCTTTAACAAACTGATAAAACCCTGCAATTTTTTTTGCATTTATTATCTTTTTTCTTTGCTTAATTGTTGTGAACTTACGGTTTGCGTCTCATCGGTTGTAATTTGTTTTACTGTGCCAATTTTACGGACTATTCGCCATTTGCGCAGACTTAACTGCTGACGTGGAATAATTGCTGCCCGAATTAGCGAGTCGCATTACCTACTCGTGAGTTAATTGTATTCTCTTTTTGTTTATTACTGCTATTGTAGAACCACGGTTATTCAGTATACTCATTCCGCCCACTGCCCTGCATTTTAACTGCCCAGACCGTGCGTTAGTTAGGTGATACGATTAGCCTCATACTCTCTGCCGTAACAGTTGTGTTTTGTTCGTGCGCTGCGTATGGAATTCTACTGTCTGCACCTCGTTTCCACCCTTGCGCGGAGAGACTCCGATTTGTTTCGCTCGGCAACACACAAGTCACGAGTCGCGCTATTTCAGTGCAGATCAGTATAACAGCTCAGGTACGATGCATGATTCTTCGCAAAATACTAATAACAACAAGAACAGGAACATTAGTGATATCGCATGAGAACTAGGTAGTGAATAAAACCACTATGCGAAGCACTTAAGGACATGTGATAACTTCCCTATCCCGTAGAGTGTCTAGCTACTGATGTGACTGACTCTGATGTTTTAATCGATATGGGAGGCAAACATCACACTTGTTAGCCATCTCATTTTATGATCACCACCCCTTTTGAGGCACCAAAGGGCTTGTGTTGCCAAAATTCAACGTTCTCCACCCCGGTATTCCATCAAGTATCCTCAACATTGCGAACCTCAGTGTTGTCAAGCACTGTTGGTTCCCTAATATTTTCCGTGCGTAGCGGGCAGGTCCCTGATCTCTCCATACAGCACCGTTTTCCGCACCGCACTGCATTCCTTCGCTTGATCACTAAGCACAAGCCTCATCTGCCTAAACGGTTGAGGCTTTGAAAAGCCAGGCGAGGTTTCGCCTGTTAGTTCTTGTGCAGCTTTTTAAATACGTTAACCGGCAGGCCATTTTGAGTGGTCTTCCAATGAGAACTGATGGATTGCTGGCCAGGTCGTATGGCATTTTGTAAGTGCCCAGGACATGCGAAAGCGTGCAACGCTACACGTCACCCTTTTCATTTGGGTTTTCAATTCCAGCGGGTTCGATCTAAACACCACTGTGGTCGATCTGGTCTAACTTTGACAGTCGACTACTGCATAGTATCTCTACTTTAGAAGAATTGAGAGTCAACGGGAATTAGTTATTCTTGATGATTTGATCGCTTTTCACTTGTGGCGAATTCAGGCTAGACTTTCCCACAGGCTTATATACTACTCCATGGGGTGTGATATACAGCTTTGAGAATAAAAATAATAGTAATAATAATAATAGTAATGATAATACGTATATTTCTCCTGATGCGTGAAACTGTGTCTTTAGGTGCACAGATCAATTTTTACCAGTATCCATGCTATTGCATGGGCGATATGCCTAGGTGGAATATTGGGGTATGCGTTTCATGTAGTTACGTTCTGGTGGATGGTTGAGACAAAAGCCTAGTTTTGGAAACATTGGTGTTTATATATTTTGTGTCTGTCTTGGAATAGCTTATCGAGGGATTTTTCGCATATAAATATGGTATTTATGGTAGGTCAAGGTATTTGGTGAGTCTGCTACCAAATGTTGCCACACTTTCACATGACCTGAGCGTGGTGGTTTATTCCCCAAATAGCTGTATCTGACCAGGAAGAAATTAGAGAGAGCGTTCATCCTAGCCTTTGGTATATTCAGTATAAAGTCTTTATTGCGAAGCTCTCGAGTTGCGCTGTGTTGTAGTTCTAGTGTAGGCAGATTGAAAAGTAGCAGCAAGTTAAAATAAATAAATAAATAAATTTGTATATTTACCGACAGACGGTACTCGGCTCCATAAGTGGGAGCGATCATTTGTATAGTGAATACATTTCATAACAGTAAAGTTTATTAACAGCATTTCGGATTATGATTTTTTTTCTTGGGTCCTAGACCCGTGCAACTCATATGTAAAATTTCCGGATGATTGTATCGTCAGGAGTAGATAATAAAGGGAGGGACTACTAGGCTGCAAAGATTTGGTATGGTATGTAATGACATGTAGTAGGTAAGCTAGCTGTAAGCGAATATCTTCTCATATGGTTTTTATACCAGCTTCTGTCAATGTTTCTAGAGTTTGCTGTGAATCCGAAGCGGTTCCAGGTGAACTTCATTACAACGTTCTCCAAAACTCACATAGCAGAATGTTTACCAAACTGATTAGTAGCAAGTGATCTTTGCAGGTGCTCCACAGCAATTCTGTCACTCTTTCTCATATTGCCGTGTATTATGCCTGCAGTATTCGAGGATGGGGCAGGTAAGTAGCTTAAACAACTCAACTTTACCATGAGTTGTGTAGATTTTGTGGGATATATTGAACATAGATTACCTGATACGTGCTACTTGTCATTGAGTCTGTTCACAGAAATTGTAGGTAGATGAGTACCTAGTTCCAAGATCACACGTGAACAGCTGTATAGTGACGTGTTCATTGTTTAATGTAATAGATTCTTCGGAGATGGAACAGCCGTAAGATATGATGCTTGATTTCTTAGCTGAGATTTTCATTCTTCAACGTGTGACACCATGATTCGGGGGAATGTAAGTCATGTTGAATGAGCAGTAGCGTTCCGTGACTGATAAATTTTCTCGTACGTCATTCACAGCGAGGAGTCGTCTCAAACAGGCACAATCAACAGAAGTGCGGATGAAGCCTTTGAGGGACTAGTCTGCACGGAAACAAGTCCCATGGAGACGACTCCACGCTTGGCCATATTACTTTACTAGAACCTATAGATTTATCTATATTTATTAATAATAATAATAATAATAATAATATTATTATTATTATTATTATTATTATTATCAACCTTTCCATCTACTTGAAAGCTGCAACCGATCAGTCGGCCCCGCAAAATAGCTTGGGAACTGTCCTGAAAAAAACTCGATGAAATAGTATCCGTCCCATGCGATCCCGTTGTACATAATGGCCAGGCTAATCAGTTGGACTGTGCCTCGCACCGTCGAGGAATATACCCTTTATTTATTCACCTAATTTAAGGCATACCTGCACCTAAACAAGACTACCATAGAGCCGTGTGCTTACCCGATGTACGGTTGAACCATGATCCCCACATCCCGTACTGGAGTGGAGGCCTAAGTTTCACCCATTTGTCTAACCTGGTGACTTTTCGGCCACCGCACCGTTGCTTCAGCGCCGACGTTTCTCGCGTTCTTATTGGTTGGCGATGTCGTAGGGGTCTCCACCGATGAGTTGACCTCACTCCTCGATGGCTTATGGACATGCGTGCCGTTATCGGTGTATTGAATGGTCGGTCACACCTAGTGTGCGTAATGGCGCCGCCAGTGTAAAACGATATATGGATATCGCCAAGGCAACCGAACGAGAACTAATCGGTATCCGTGCGTTAACCTGTGTTTGTCTTTTCAGCCTTTCACAACGGTCGCTCTTGGGATCTTTTCCAGTTAAGCCCCGCCACTAATGCAAAAAGAGCACGCGTAAAAAGTTAAGCCCCGCCACTAAGGCAAAAGGGTACACCTGAAAAGTCAAGCCCCACCAATAGTGCAAAAAGGGCACGCGTGAAAAGTTGAGCCCCGCCACTGTTTGCCAGCTCCACTGGACGTAATGCATGTGAACGTGCCCCATAAAAACACTCCTTATCCGCTTGTAAGGTCATTTTTGTCCAAAAAGTTTCTACGTTCGCACGTGAAACCTGACATGAACTTTCTGACGCTTTCGGCGGTCGTTCATGACAAGGAAACAGCAATACGTTTTTGCAAAGCCATGGTGTGATTCATCATCAACGTTTATGCAGACGAGGACACCAAATGACACTTTCAATTGTTTCTGACAGGTGGAGGTGTGATGCCCGACAGTGTCGGCAAGAAATCGGTCTTCGAAAGGGAACTTGGCTGCAGCGGTCTAGGATGGATTTCAGGACAATAATCCTATTCATTTATTGCTGGTCCAAAAATCTGACAACAATCAAATTCTGCTCAGAGGAGTTATCTATTGGCCACGCGACCGCTGTCGACTGGAAGAACTTTCTGCGTGAAATTTGCGCCTGGCAGCTTTGGCAGACTCCAACGATTGTCGGCGGCCCAGGTCTACATGTCGAGATCGATGAAACCCTAATATCACGTCGTAAAAACCATGCAGGGCGAGTCCTTCCCCAGCAGTGGATTTTCTGAGGGATTTGCCGGGAGACTAAAGAAGTGTTCTTGTATGCAGTGCCAGATCGAACTGCGGCCACTCTGCTGGACACAATCCAGGCCTGCATCGCTCTCGGCTCAGTTATCATTTCCGATATGTGGGCATCATACCAAGGCATTGAATCGATGATTGGCATGAGTTATACTCATCAAACGGTTAATCATACCGAAAACTTTGTGGATCCAACGACTGGAGCTCACACACAAACCATCGAATCTCTCTGGCACATTTACAAGATGCAGAATAAGCGCCAATGCGGCACACCCCGATCTTTAGTGGACAGCTACCTGTGTGAGTTCGTTTGGAGGCAAAGACACCGAAAAATGGACCTTTTCATGCAAATTATTAATGACTTGTCTCAATTTCACCCTCTTCAATAGAAAGTAAAAGTTCAAGTTCCATATCCTCCCTTTTCATAATTTTTTTTGGGTGGCGGGGCTTAACTGGAAAAGATCCCGCTCATGTTCCTCTATGATATGTATCGGCATTCTTCTGACCATTTGTGCTGTATGTCCCCACTTCCTTTGCGTCGTGCCGCGTGCTAAGGAAACGGTTTTCTATTCTAGTTCCCCATTCCTTTGTTTTTACTGCTCCACAGGCTTATTCATACCTACACAATTTGCTGAGCAAACTCCCAATCAATTTTGATGCGATAGATGAGACTGACTGCGATTTGCTACAGCGCGTTTTCATCGCGGCAACGATTTCTGGTTTGGAACGATCACTCGTCCCGAAATCCACCATCAGATCATCGGCACTAGACGAACCCCAGCACCTCACTCCAAAGCACGCGGACCCGGGTTTGTCATCGGATCTTGTCTCCGGCGTTCTCCGATGCGCTGGCTTCCTGTTGAATAAGACAGTCCCATCAGGCTCTTTTAGTTCACTGGATGACCTCTATCAATCCTCACCGCTTCTTCGTGCTGTGATGTGCGATGTGATCCTACGGCTATTGGGCGATGCTCTAGATGCTTCTCGAGTCTCTGCGAAACCACAGCTGGTGTGTGCTCAGCCTCCAATGTATCGCCGAGTTTACTTGTCCTCTGTATTTTCCGAGGTAAGCGACTCTCATACACTTTTGCTTGTTGATCTCATTGAATATTTTCACCGTACTATTTTGCTTTCATTTCTGACAGCTCCCAGACGTGCCAAGCCGCACTGGACAAATTAGCACTAGTTGTCAATCGTTTCCGGATTTGCTTTGCACCCTCGAAGTGTAAGTCGTTTCTCCAAGATTGGCAGGGACCCACCACTGCACTGATCCTTAGTGGTCCTGAGTTAGAAATCATCCGGTAATTGAAGTTTATACACAGATATACTAGCGCCCGTCTAATAAGTGATGAGATCACGAACTTTGCGGAAAAATCTCGAGGTGCTTTTGTAAAGCTCCCCCACCTGTTGTGCAGACACGACATTTCGCCCCGAAGGACAGAATTTACAATGCAGCCGTTCGTTCAACCCTCCTGTATAATTGTGAAACCTGGTCCATTAGTTCAGTCGACATACGAAGGCTAGTTACTTGTGAACATCGCTGTCTTCACAGTCTAGTCCGTGTCTAGTGGGAACAGCACATGAGCAACGAGCTGGTTCGGCGTCATATATTTGATGCAGGAAGAGCAAGTGAACTGTTCAGCACCCTTATAACACTCACCAAGCTCCGATAGTTTGGTCACGTGTTGCGCATGCTAGCACACATCGACTCTGGCGATGTGCGTTGTTTGCGCAACCGGGGTCTGGTTGGAAGAAAGGGAGGGGAAGCGGACAGACGATTTGGTCAATAAGAATGAAAACCCTAACTTTGAACTTGCCCTCGGTTGGTGTCTCCCGACTGCGTGCTTGAGTCCGAGGGACGACGAACACGTTTAGTTGGATACACTGGCGAATAGTCGATCTCATTGACGTTTATGTTGTGAGTCTCTTTGTCCCTCCTCTCGCCTATTTCCATTCTCTAAGCACCATCTCACACTCCAATCACAATATGACAATTAGCATTATATTGCTTTAGTTTTTCTATTCTGTACGGTTTTCATATCTATTTTTGTATTGCGGTCCCGACAGCCTACCACCGGCTCTTCTCAAAGATGACGGGAGTACACTTGTCAGCGAAATCCTATCTGTTCACGAAAGTTTGGACTGAAGTAAAGGTTCCGAACTCATGGGGAGAATCAGTCATTGTTCCGATTCACAAGAAAGGCTCCCGCGACGATTGCTGTAACTACCGCGGATTCTCGTTAATCTCTGTCGCATGCGAAATATTGGTCTCGGTTCTACTTCGCAGTCTTCCAACGACTAGAGAGGAGTTTCTCGAGAAGAACAAGCCGGATTACGTCCGGGCCGTGGCTGCATCGACCAGACCTTCACGCTTCGCCAACTTCTCGAACTCCTTCACATCCACCGTCGGCCAACAATCGTAGTGTTTTTGGACATCCGAGCGGCATTTGATTCAGTAGATAGATCTGCGTTATGGGACTCTTTACTGAAGAAGGGTGTGCCCGACAAGTTTGTAACCATCCTGAAAGAACTATACAGTCACACGTCGGACAAAGTCAGCGCTTACGGCACGCTCTCTTCTTCGTTTGCTGTGATCAGCGGTGTCCGCCAAGATTACCCTATTTCACCTTTCTTCTTCACTTTCGCCATCGAAGGTGTTTAAAGAGCACTGGAAGGTGTCCAGAATTGCTGTGTTGAGCTCTTCATTGGAGACAGAGTCACGGACTTGGACTACGCCGATGATATCGCCTTTCTGGGGGAGGACCCACAAACCGTCCAAAGCGCTTTCGACCACTTAGCGATGAATGCGTTTAAGTACGGCTTATGCTTCACTCCGGGAAAATGTAAAACTCTGCTCCAGGATCGGAAGGTGCCTGAACCAGCGCTCACCATTGCTGAATATGTTCTGAAGCAAGTGAATTGCTTTATAGAGGGTAGAAGTCACGATTAAACTCCACACGAAAATCTGCCTCGACGGGGAATCGAACCTCGGTCCACGAATTTCCGGTCCGTTGCTCTACCACTGAGCTACCGAGGGCTGACGATTAGGTGCGGAATTTAACACGTGACTTCTGCTTAGTGCGCGACGTATTGCCAATGAGCTCACAGTAACTGTCCTGGTGTTGCAGATCGGCTCACTCACTCGTCACTTCCCCGTGGACCGAAGTAACTGTCCATCCGAAGTCCAAAGGGCGATGGTAGATTATTTGGAAGATGTTTGTGAGTAACGTAAGTTTCGTAGAGGGTAGAAGTCAAGATTAAACTCCACACGAAAATCTGCCTCGACGGGGAATCGAACCCCGGTCCACGAATTTCCGGTCCGTTACTCTACCACTGAGCTACCTAGGGCTGATGATTCGGTGCGGAATTGCTTTACTTATCTAGAGAGTCACATCACGGCTGGTGGCGGTGATAGAGATGAAGTCTCACAACGGATTGCAAAGGCCCGCCTTGCATTCATCAAACTTTGCCCCCTCTGGCATTGTCGTGATGTTAGTCTCAAGCTCAAGAGCAGGGAGTACAATGCTTCCGTCCGTGCGATACTCTTGTACGGCTATGAGACTTGGCCTATTCGCTCGGAAGACATGAAGTGGCTGTCAGTCTTTGACACTCGCTGTCTAGGAAGGATTGCTCGGGTGTAGTGGCAGCACCAAGTAAGCCACGCAGAAGTCCAAGACCGAGTGCTTGAGCGAATAGTGCCAGTCTTCAGGACGTTATTCTCCGACATCGCATGTGTTGGCTCGGGCACGTTTTGCGTACCCCAGCCCATCTTCTTCCACGTCGAGCGCTATTTGCACTCCGTGGGAGCGATTAGAAAAAGCGCCGCGGTAGGCAGCCAATAACGTGGAGAAGGAACATGAAGAAGGCAACCTCAAGTTTGGCGGCAGTCGTACCAGTACGTCTTCCAGGCTGGGGACCACGAAATGCTGAATCGCAGTGGTTGGAAACGTTGAACGTTATGGCCCGCAACAGACATCAGTGGCGTCAATGTTGTTCTGCCATTATCTCTCCCCCTTTAATTCACACAAAATGGTCACAAAACGAAAAAATTCAAAATGGCATGTGTAAAACCAAAAAAATCGTTTTTCATTTTTTACTCGCAGTTCGTGTTTTTATCTTCTCCATTTTTTCTGCCATGGTTCTGGTGGCACATTGTTAACAGACTATATATATATATATATATATATATATATATATATATATATATATATATATATATATATATATATATATATATATATATTGCGGCACAGTAGCTGAAGTGTTTCTAGCCTGCATCTAGGAGGTGCAATGGTGATGACGAATATGTTTACGCCATACCTTTTGCACATAAGGGATATGACAAGCAATTTCGCATCGTGAAAGCACCCACTACCACCTCTTTCGTGCAGAAGCCACGTCATTAAGTTATACAGATCAGTCGGGGTTGACGGTGACCCACCCACCCACTTGTGGTCACTCATCTACAAGCGACGTTTTTATCATCTGCATCTGCATTTTACAAACGACGTATGCTTGCCTGCCGTTGTAACAAGACTGGACCTTATTGTGTTGCGTACCTATTTGATCCATTATGCTATGCTGAATGGTGCGTGCGGGCGCCTTAGAGAGAGAGAGAGAGAGCTACTCCTACCAGGTTGGTAAATCGTTAGATGTCAGACAAACACAATCTCCTGATCCTCCATGTTTGAAATTGGATGGCGTCCATTTCTGTACAACCGAACTGTTGCTACATCCGCTGCCTTGCGGACAGGCTTTGATACCAAAGGTTTTGGTTGAGGACCCTAATCGTCCTCTTGTCTAGGTCTGGGCGCCCTAGTAGTATCTCAGCTTACATACAACCATGACAACTTCAACAGAATTCAACTACATTGTGCATCGGCCGTCGCGCAAATTATCAAAGGTCGCCTTATCTGCCACATATCGCAGGGTGGATAAGAGAAAATATGCTACTGCTGGCGCTTCCGTTCTTTCTTTTCCATTTGTTTCTCGTATTCCCCTCCCAACCCCCATTACTAACCTAAAATTCCCAGCCTAATTGACAGCAGCTGTAATGCCACTGAAGTCTAACCATCTGCAGCGACCTTGTTGCACGCACATAGCATGCCTATGGGTAACAGTCCCTTATAAGGCCACGCTGTCCCGTTTCCCTGGCGACGTCCAACATTCGCACTAAGACAACTAGATTAACAGACTGCACTCGCACTACCGTTGAACACACTGGGTATTGATGTGTGTTGTGTGTCCGAAACTAGGATCAATGGGATTGTTGAACTAACTGCACTCGGACTGTCCTCTCGCCATTGGCTGCACGTATCCGGAGACGCCGATGCAGCACTCTTTGGTCAAGCTGGTGTAGGTATCACTCTAAGCTCCAAGGCTGAGCCATCGTTGGTTGATTGGATTCCGGTGAACAGCCGTTTATGTGCAGCCCGTTTGACGACATCAGCTAAAGTTGATTCACGAAATAGGATACAACGCTGTTGGTTTATAATTTCCGCTTGTGCTCCCACCGGCTGCAGTTCTGATGTTTTCAAGGACACATTCTATCACGAACTGAACGCGCTACTACGCAGTGCTACCAGTTCAAATATCCTAGTGCTTGCAGGGGGTATGAACGCACAAATAAGACGTATGAGCTGTTAAGAAACTCAGCTGGGTGGTAATTATGGGCTTAACTCCGAAAGGACAGACAACGGCCAGCGTCTGCTGCAACTGTGTACGGAGCACCGACTGTTTCTTAGTAACGCCGCTTTTATACACAGTGGGCGCCGAAGTGCCACTTGGCGTCCTCCTGTAGCTAGCCAGCTATGGACCCACAGTTACAGGTTACAGGATTTCACTATGGGCTATCGCTCTTTCCGGAGTGCTTGCGTCGACTCTGATCATGTTTTAGTACGCTGTTACTTTTCCATTATCTTTACCGGGAGTTGCACCAAGCGTATCCCCCGATTAACAACTGAGAGTTGTCCAAGCCTACGGATATGCACTGCGTACTGCACTTTCGCTCCCTTATCCTTATGACATGGAGCTTCAGGATTTCGGTCGCCATGCACTACGCAAGAA